AGTGAAGAAACAGATTGACAGAGCCAGAAGAGTACCCAGAAGTTACCTACTACAGGACAGGCCCAACAAAGAAAATAACAGAACGCCATGAGCCATCACCTTCAGCCCCCAATTAAAACCTCTCCAGCGCATCATCAAGGATCTACAACCTATCCTGAAGGACGACCCATCACTCTCACAAATCTTGGGAGACAGGCCAGTCCTCGCTTACAGACAGCCCCCCAACCTGAAGCACATACTCACCAGCAACCACACACCACACAACAGAAACACTAACCCAGGAACCTACCCTTGCAACAAAGCCCGTTGCCAACTGTGTCCACATATCTATTCAGGGGACACCATCATTGGGCCTAATCACATCAGCCACACTATCAGAGGCTCGTTCACCTACGTGTCTACCAATGTGATCTATGCCATCATGTGCCAGCAATGCCCCTCTGCCTTGTACATTGGCCAAACTGGACAATCTCTACGTAAAAGTAGCTCATAATAGCTCAGCTTATTTGATCACTCTCGTTACAGTGTGTATGGTAACACCCATTGTTTCATGTTCTCTGTGTATATAAATCTCCCCGCTGTATTTTCCACTGAATGCATCCGATGAAAGGAGCTATAGCTCACGAAAGCTTATGCTCAAATAAATTTGTTAGTCCTGTTGGGGACACTGGGCATGGCCACTAGGTAACTCGAGGGGATGGAAGACCACGAGTGTCGATGAAGCCCCCTCGCACTAGGCCCGAGTGTCCTTGGCCCCCTCGCCTGGAGGCACTCGCAGCAGTTATGCTGAGGATCTGCAACAATATGTTGCAGAGTCAGACTGCCTGAAACTAAACAAGGCCAAACAGGGCAGATATGGAAGAACAATGGTGGACAGGGGTAAGGGGCTGAGGCTGGGGTCACAGCTGGGTTGGGGGTGGATCCCCAGACGCGGGGCTGAGAGCAGATGCCCGGGCGTGGGGCCACCAGCTGGGACCCCGCGTGTGGGCCCGGCGGCTAGTAGCGGATCCCTGGGTGTGTGGCTGGCAGTCAGGGCGGGACTAGGCGCCCTATCCCCACCCCACATGGGGGCTGGCCTGTGCCCCAGGAGTGCCCCCTTAATCTTCCTCTGCGCCCCACGAGTGGGGCATGTCCCACAGATTGGGGACCTCTGTCCTAAATTGACCAGCTGAACTGAAACACACCACTGCTAAATCGAAACAAATATCCACCAACCAGTCTGTAGCACTGCTTCAGCCGACTCACTTTACACTGCTCTGTCTCTCTTCAGCACTTCCGTGGCCCCTGAGAGCCTAATAGCTGGGAAGGTCACAATCATTGATGAATTTCTCCTGAAGACTTCCCCAGGAGCTAGCAAAGTGCTGCTACCCTCATTTTGCAACTGCCAAAGAGAGCTTCTGTGATTCGCCCAAGGTCACACAAGAGCTCTGTAGCAGAGCAAGGAATTCAACCCCTGGGTTTGGACCCTAACCACTGGATCATGCTTCCTGTCTAAAGGCCTTAAAATGGGTGTGAGTTTAAGGCACCTTTATGTCGCCATTCGGCTCAAAAGGACCTTAAGGTGCATCTTCACTGCAGGGTTAAATTGCAGGTTAACACTGGGCTCAGTGACTGTTCAGTGCCTGACACAACAGTGAACTATTATCTGCCCCCTAGTCGCTACCATAATACATATGATAAATAATTATAGTAATCTCATCTCCTATGGGAATTCCTAAAGGGTTTCCCTGGGCTACTTGGTAATACCACCCAGCTCTGTGCCACACAGATCCACAGGGAATAACCAGGTAAGGACTGAAAAGCCAGGTACTTGGGGTTCAGTTGTGTACCTCAAACCCTAGAGTACCAGGAGCTGCACAGCCTGCTAGAATCTGGAGAGAAGTCCAGTGGGGAATCAGCAGGAGTGATCCTGAGAACCTCCTTCAGCAAGGTATTTTAGAGTGAGTGACCCATGCGAAGAAATGTCCTTTCTGGCTGCTGACGTGGACTGTCCTTGTTATATCACCGTCTCTGAACAGCAAACGGCTAAAGCTCTTGTTCTGAGGTGATGCCCGGTCAGACTCTAAACAGGCTCCTATTGTTTGTCCACTGGACAGTTCATGGGGTTTTAAGAATGGGAACAGTCAGTCATTAAGAGGAGGAAGCAGAACCCATGGCTCTTATCAGCATGAGATCGGTGCCTGCCAGAGGTGAACAAGGGCAGACAGGGAGAACGGGCTGTCAGGCGTGGCTGTGTTTTCAGAAGAGCTCTTGCATGAAAGAGCTGTGCCAACATAGCAATGCCGCCGGCGACAGGTGAAAGGTGGGGTGTCCAGCGAGGCAAAGAGGGGCCTCTGTAGTAGCTCTTTGTTGTGCTTGGATTGGGTCCCGGTTGTGCAAGGAGAGAGAGAAAACACAGGCCCAGATTCTCAGGCCTTGTCTACACAAGAAAGAAACATTATTTGACCAATTTTGTGGAATTTCAATCTGAGTTAGTTCAACCATGAAAACCCCTGTGTGCAGGCTCTTCTTCCATTCAAATCAGGTTTATGTTGCATTATCCTAATTTTGGAAGGGTTATGAAACCTCCTGCTTAGGGATAAGGATGAGACTTTCATGGGGGCAGATTCTCCCACATTGGGGTTCTAACACCTTCCTTGGAAGCAGTGGGTGCTGGCCAGTGCCGGAGATGGGATACTGGAGGAAATGGCTCTTGGGTCTAATCCAGTCTTGCCATTCCTTTCCTCCAGAAAACCATTTGTGATTTGCTAGCGGGGACCAAGAATGGCGGACATCTCTGAGGAGGACGACCTGAGAGCCATGGCTGCGGGAGAGAAGTTCAGGGGAGCATTACTTGGGATGGGAAGACTTGGATAACTCTCAGCCTTCTCTTGCTACACTATTGTCAGCCAGTAAACCAGTAGCTGAGTACAACCAATGGAAGCATACTCCACTGATGTCTCTGCTGTACATAAAATCTGAGCATTCTTGTGTAAGTGGGGAAATAGTCCCACTCTTGTGGGCAACTTTCCTGGCTTCTGCACGACCCCGGTGAAGTGGGCTAGCGAAAGGATCCGAGTCCTCACGCCCACTTCCTTTACCCAGTGGCCTCCCTGCCCTTGAGGACTCCCCTTCCACTCTCCTGTCTGGCAGAGTCCTCGTAACCCAAACAAGGCTGGGCCCAGGATTCCTGGGGGGCTCGACCCCCAACCCTGCTGTGGTCACCTAGGACAGGGGCTAGGGTGTCCCCACTCCGGAGTACTCTCTCTGCACTGGGCACTTCTCTGACCCACTGACCATTACATACAAGTTAAAGCAACTACAAGTTAGTTAACAATTAATTTTAAAAAGAGTAAGGAAGAATGAGAAAGGTTAAAGGAAACACATCACCCCGCTCTGTGGCAGGGAACATCACAAACAGTGTCTCTGGAACGTCCGGGCAGTTCACAGTCTGTTCCTCGTAAGTCCCAGGCCTTCTTCTCAGGCCCTGGCTGTGCAGCAGGGATGCTGTGGGTTGGACACTTGCTCTGGTGGTGGCCACACGCTCTCAGGCTCTAAGTGGTAGGACCCTTCTGCCCAGTGTCGCCCCCGCCCTGGCGGGGTTACGATCCAAGCCTGGCCTGCAGAGCCTCTTGGCTGAGGCGTCTCCCTGTGCTGGGCCTGCTGCCCAGGGTCCCCCTCGCTCTCCCCCGCTGCTCACCGCACCCAGCTCCGGACGGCTCCAGCCCCAGCTGCACCGCTCGGCCTCTGCACTGCTGCTGCTGCCTCCAGCTCCCTGGGCTGCTTCTCTGGCCCCTCTGGCTCTGGTTGCTGCAGCTCTGCTCCCAGGACAGGGTCTGCTCTCTCTGGGCTGCTTTTCAGGTCCCTCTGGATCTGGCCCAGCTCTGCTCCCCAGCTTAGCTTGGGCCCCTGCTTTCTCCTTAGCTCGGCCCCACTCTGTCTGACCCAGGCAAATCCAGCTCACACAGAGGACGGGACCTCCCTGGCCACCTGACTCCCTGATTAGCCTGCTCGCCCTGTCATTCAGGCTGACCTGGAGCATTGGCCTCTCCCCATTGTTCCTGGGGGCTTTCAGTCTGCGGGTCCTGATTCCCCATCCACCCTTCCCCCTTTTTAGTACTGGCAGCTAGCAACTAAAACACCCCCACTGAATGTTAGTAAGGGGGCAACAATCCTCTTACACTTGGGAGCGCCTCTGATTTTATTACTTGCTACATTCCTGCCTCCAGGGCTGGCTTTTGGGACTCAGGTTATGGAAGGAGGGTCGCCCAGTGGTTAGAGCATTAGCTTAGGACTCAGGACACGACAGCTCAATCCCCTGTGGGACCACAGACTCCTGTGTGACCTTGATTACGTTATTGAGTCCTTCTGTGCCTCAGTTTCCCATCTGTAAGACAGGGACAATAGCACTTCCTGTCCTTGCAGGGGGGTTGGAAGGTTAAGGAGATGAAAGATTGGCAGATACTTCAGCTATGGGCGGACATATCTTCACCTACGGTAGACACATCTCTACTGTGGGGGGCAGACCTTTCGCAGAGGGAAAGAAGAAATGTTCATGACCTGAACGAGACAATAAAGTGGCAGGAGTTGCAGGCTGCAAAGTCTGGGCAATCATGGGAGGGTAAAGAGAGACTTGTTGGTTCCACTGGGCAGAACCAGTGGCGCAAGATACTGCGCTTGAGAGAGTAGGGTAAGATCAGGCTCGTGGCCCCTTCAAGGGAACAGCCCGTAGGGCGCAGGGGAAACTGAGAGGCTGCAGGGCTAGGGATGGGCTAGTTGATTAGTTAGCAGAAACGGTGGGCATGGGGATTGGGGCAGATGAGAAAATTAAAGCAGGTTCTGCCTCTCCATGCCAGAAAGGAAAAGATAAGTCACTTTGATAAGTTTAGGGAGAACAACAGTTTATTTTTCCAGCTGAAGTTGGATCCTGGCCTTTGGAAGCAGAAATCAGATTCCACAGGGTGAGTTTTGGTGATAAATGAGGTGTCTGACCTTTCCTTATTGATAAAGGTGATTGGTCTCCTTGACAATGCGGGCATGGAGTTTGGGCAATCAAGCTTGTAATGTCACGTACCACACATGGTATAAATATAGACGCTAAACCCTCCAGCTGCACGCTGGGGATATCAGGACCTGGAAGAATCTTTCAGCAGCCAAGATGAAGCTCCAGATTGTGGCTGCCATTCTCCTCGTCACCATCCTTTCCCCAAAGAGAAGCAGCGCGCAGCAGGTCGGCGCACAGGTAAGGTTGCGTTCACTACGAGCAGTATAATACTTTCTATTATAATGCTGGTTTTCTCTGTGAAATAGGATCTGAAATGGCTCCACTTTCCTCTCTGCCCAAAGGTGAATTGTTCTTGGACAGGTTTCAGAGGAACAGCCGTGTTAGTCTGTATTCGCAAAAAGAAAAGGAGTACTTGTGGCACCTTAGAGACTAACCAATTTATTTGAGCATGAGCTTTCGTGAGCCACAGCTCACTTCATCCGGAGTACTTGTGGCACCTTAGAGACTAACCAATTTATTTGAGCATGAGCTTTTGAAGTGAGCTGTGGCTCACGAAAGCTCATGCTCAAATAAATTGGTTAGTCTCTAAGGTGCCACAAGTACTCCTTTTCTTTTTGTTCTTGGACAGTGTCTTAGCAATGTGCTGAGTTTGAATTGGCCGAGTACTGTAATGGGGGGAGAAGATTAAAGGGTTTTCCTCACTTATTAGGAAAATTCTTTAGATCTGTTATTATGCTTCGATATCCCCAAAGTGCATTTTGTTCCAAAGTTCAGATTCAATGTGTACATATGGTTCAAAGTGGTTTGCGTGCTGGAGAAATAGAGAGGTCCTCACTGATTGACATTAGCTTGCTATGCCATTTCCACCACACATTTGGCCAACTTGTGCCCCAGTGGTCAGCGATTTGGGCTGGGGGTGGGGTCTCATTCTTTAGAGGCTCAAGCAGAGATGACTTGATCTTGATTCCCAAAAGTGCTGAACATCCTGGGCTGTGCAAAGAACCCCCCTCCCTGACCCCCCACCCCATTCTCTAAAATGTTTGAAAATAACAGAGGATGCTCAGCCAATTTTGCGACCAAAAATGATTAGTTTTTTCAAAGTGAACATTTTAATGGAAAAGAATAAACAAGTGAAAACCAAAAAACAAAATATGTTTTGAGTTTTGGCTATTGATTCCCAGCCCCCCACCCTGAGTGGTAAAGCAACCGGGGAAAATTTTTCGGCTATTATTTTTTCATTTAAAAATATGCAAGCAGGTTCAAAAATTTTTGCAAAAATTACTAAAACCCCCAATTTTCCTGAAATTTTCCAAAAATACACAACATTTTTCAAATGGCTCTCGAAAACAGAAAATAAGGGGGGAAATAAAAGAAGGGAGGGGAATGTAAATGAAAAGTTTTTCCACACAGTGCACAGTCAACTTGTGGAACTCCTTGCCAGAGGATGTTGTGAAGGCCAAGATGATAACAGGGTTCAAAAAGAACTAGATAAATTCATGGACGATAGGTCCATCAATGGCTACTAGCCAGGGGTCCCTAGCATCTGTTTGCCAGAAGCTGGGAATGGGTGACAGGGGATGGATCACTTTTTGATTACCTGTTCTGTTCATTCCCTCTGGGGTACCTGGCATTGGTCACTGTTGGAAGACAGGATAATGGGCTAGACGGACCTTTGGTCTGACCCAGTATGGCCATTTTATGTTCTTATGTAAAAGATGGGGAAAAAATTCCTTTCTGAAATTTTGACCAGCTTTAATTCATCTCCTGAGGAGTCAGACTCAGGTAAGGAAACTCCCAAATTCTAGATTCTGGAGGTTTCTGCCAGCACTGAGAAAGAAGGGTAGGGGTGAGGTTTCTCATCCCAGAACTTGCTGAAGCCATGTCTACACTTCAGATTTCTGCTGTCACGGCTATGTTGGTTTGGGGTATGAAGAGCTTTGATCCGTGACCGACATGGCTGTGTTGGCAAAAGGTGCTGCGGCAGACACAGCAATAGCCAGCAAAACTGTCCCATAGTGGCCTGATCTACACTGCAAAGTTCTGCCAGCATGATTATGTCAGCTAGGAGTGTGAGAAAATCACATCCCTCGGTGACATAGCTATGCCAGAGAATCCCCAGCGTAGAGGTAACTCCTATGATAGAAGAGTGACTCTGTCGGCTTGATGAACGTTGTTCAGGAAGGTGGTGTTACTATGTTGGCAAAAGTTCTTCTCTTGGCATACGCAGCCTCTACACAAGAGCCTCTCATGTCACAGGCTCTGTAGTGTAGACATGGCCTTCTTTCTCTCGAGGGGCGGAAGGGCTGGAATAATTTGTACCAGCAAAAGCACACTAGTAGATCAGTAGAGCTAGACTGGCCAAGTGCTCCTAGTGTAGACCTGGCCTGATGAAGCTATTGCCAATGTGAGGAATCAGCTACATTTAAATAACAGTGGAGAAAGAGCACGATCAAGTAACTCCCAACTATTTCCTTGCAGGGGTCCTTGGGCGTGGGTGCAAGCCTTGATGTGCCAGTAAGTATTCAAAAGTTACTTTGCTGTCAATCTCTTAAATGTTACCCCAGTTCCTCTTAGCAATCCCGGAGCCCAGGGGTCAGTTGGAATAGCCTGGACAGATGTGCGAGGATTGGGGCAAAAGACAAAGCAAAGGGCTTCCAAGTCCTAAGGGGGCATGTAAGAGTTAATCCAGGTGTTCTTTGCAGTTTCAATTCTCTGATCAGACTAGTCCCCAGTCTGGGCTCTGTTCTCTACCGCCATGATCAGACTCACTACCCAGGTGGAGTCATACACATGGTGAGAGGTGATTCGCTGGGAATCTTGTCATTCTGCATCCCTGGGACTGAGGATAATAGTATCACCAGGGGAATTACACACATGGCCTCCTCGAGACAAGGGAGTGGATTCCCAGGTGTTGTAAACTGGTGTCACTCCGTTCAAATCAGAAGAGTTACATCCCCAGATGGTGTAAATCAGCATAGTTCCACTGGAGTCAGTGGGTCAGATTCCAAATGAATGTAAATCAGCATTGTTCTGTTGGCGTTAATGGGCCAAATCCTCAGCTGGTGTAAACTTATTGAGCTCCATTGGAGTCAGGGAAGCAGTTCGTTTCTGGTGCTGGGCCTCTGGGTACTCCAAATTCACTCTGCTTTAAGAGTCTGCTACGTTACTTTGCTACATGTAAGAGGCAGAGGCCTGATTAAATAGTGGATTATCTTTCTTCTCCCAGATGGGTTAGAAATTACTAAGTGAGAGATCCTTGGTGGTCCTATTATCTCTCATGATGGGATAGGAGACCCAATCAAAGAATTCCCATAGTTTAGAATCAGGAGTTTCAGGTCTTGCTTTGTAACCTGGTGGTCATTGGGCCAGACTATGGTTACAGCCCCTTTCCACACCACGAAGGCTGTAATCAGAAACTCTAGGGACATCTTACAGCCATATTGCAGAAGGAGTAATACGATGGTCCTGACCTTTTTAGTTTAATGAAGACTATTGATCTCTTTGACAATCCAGGGATTGGGTTGGAGCAATCAGGCTTGTAGTGTCAGATATGACACAGGGGATAAATACAGCTGCTAAACTCCCCAGCCACAATGGGGACTTGCTCATCTGGAAGAGCTGAACGGAAGCGATGATGGAAGTCCAGATCATGGCTGCCATTCCCCTCATCTCTGTCCTTTGCCCAAGGGAAGCAGCTCTCTGCCCGTAGGAGTGCTGCTGGTAACAATGAAAGCACTGCTAGGAGTGACATACTATTTGTCATAACGATGACTTTTGTAAAATAATAGAAATGTAGAGCTGGAAGGGACCGCAAGAAGTCATCATGTCCAATTCCCTGCACTGAGGCAGAACCAAGAAACCTAAACCATCCCTGACAGGTGGTGTCCAAAGTTTTCTTAAAAACGTGCAATGATGGGGATTCCACAAGCCTACTCAAGAGTTTAATTACCCTTAGAGTTAGAAAGTTCTTTTTAATATCTAGTCAAAATCTCCCTTGCTGCAATTAAGCCCCCTACTTTTTGCCCTATCTTCAGTGGACACAGAGAACAGTTGATCACAGTCCTCTTTAGAACAACCCTTAATATATTTGAAGACTGTTATCAGGTCCCCCTCCTCAGTCCTCTTGTCTCAATACTAAACATGCCCCATTTTTTAACCTCTCCTCACAGGCCACATTTTCGAAACCTTTTACCATTTTTGTTGCTTTCCTCTGGACTCTCCGATTTGTTTACATTTTTCCGAAAGTGTAGTGCCCAGAACTGAAAACACGGCTCCAACAGAGGCCTCCCCAGTGCTGAGCACAATGGAACAATTACTTCCTGTGTCTTACATTCACCACTCCTGTTAATATATCCCAGAATGATAACAGCCTCTTTTACATCTGTATCACATTGTTGACTCATATTCAATTTGTGACTCACAATAACCACCTGATCCTTTTCCGGGTATTACCACCTAGCCAGTTATTCCCTCTTTTGTAGCTGTACATTTGTTTTTTTCTTTCCTAAGAGAAGTACTTTGCACTTGTCTATTGAATTTCATCTAGATGCTTTTGGTCCAATTCTCCAATATGTGAAGGTTGTTTTGAATTCTAACCCTCTGCTTGCAACTCCTCCCAGCTTGGTATCATCTGCACATTTTATAAGTGTGTTCTCCACCCCATTATCCAAGTCATTAATGAAAATATGGAATAGTATCAGACCCAGGAGTGACCACTGCAGAACGCCACTAGATACGTCCACCCAGCTTGACAGAGAACCACCGTTACCCAGCCTTTCAACCAGTTGTGCACACACATTATACCAATTTCACCTAGATCATATTTCCCTACTTTGCTTAGGAGAATGTCATAAGTTGGACCTTTCTATTATAATGATGATTTTCTCTGTGAAATACGATCTGAAATGTCTCCCCTTTCCTCTCTGTCCAAAGGTGAATTGCTCAGGGACAGTATCTTAGCATTCCCTGTAGCTGAGTTGGAATTGTCTCGGTGTAGTGAGGGGAGAAGATTAGAGGGATTTCCTTGCTTATTCAGAAAATGTTTTGGATCCATTATTGTGCTTAGATGTTACAAAAGCAACTATTGTTCCAATCTTCAGCTTCAGTGTGTACATATGGTTCTAAGAGGTTTGTGTGCTGGAGACATAGAGAGGCCCTCACCAATTGACAAGAGCTTATCATGCCATTTCCCTCACACAGTTAGCAAAACCTGCAGATCTCATTCTTTGGGGGCGCAATCACTGACGATTTGGACTTGATTCCCAAAAGTGCTGAACAGTTTCAGCTGTGCAATCAACTCTTCCCTCCACGTTCTATATTTTTTGAAAACAACAAACAGGATGCTCAGTCATTTTTGAAAGGAGAAAAATGTAGAACTACTTGAAATTTGTCACTAATCTATTTTATTTTTAACTAAAAATGATTTTTTTAAAAGAAAAATTTGATGGAAAAATTTGTTTCTTCTGTTTTTTTCTGATTTTTTTCAACGAAAATAATGAAAACTAAAAAGAAAAAAAGGCATGAGTTCTATTACATAATTTTCTAGCCACCTTTTCCCCCAATTTTTCCATAAAAATAATGAAAAAGAAAAAGAAAAAAAGTTTTGAGGTTTGTTCTTTGATTCCTCAGACCCATTTTTGCAAATAGATTTGAAATGCTATTTTTCTTTGAAATGTCCCCCAAAACACACTTATAATTTTTCAAACAGCTCCAGAAAAGATGAAGGGGGGGGGGGGAATAAATAAAAAAACCACAAATTCTTTTCATTTCTGATTTTGCAAAACAAAATGACAATATTTTTACAAAAATTCATTTTGAAACATTTAACCAGCTCTAATTCTTATCGTGAAAAGTCAGACTCAAGAAAGGGAGTTAAAATAAATTGGTTAGTCTCTAAGGTGCCTCAAGTACTCCTTTTCTTTTTGCGAATACAGACTAACACGGCTGTTACTCTGAAACCTGTCAATATTTTTACAAAAACTCATTTTGAAACATTTGAACTAGCTCTAATTCTTATCTTGAAAAGTCAGACTCAAGAAAGGGAGTTAGTTCCCAAATTCCAGATTCTGGGGGTCAATCTGAGTACTGAGAAGGAAGTGTAGGAGGGCTGTTTCCCATCGCAGAGCTGTCTGGGGTCATGTCTGAAACACAGACTTCTGCTGGCACAGCTCTATAGTATGGGGTGTGAAGAGGTTTGATTCCTGACTGACACGGCTGTGCTGGCAAAAGCCTCTCCCTACTGTAGCTGCAGTTGTAATCAGCACAACTGGGCTTTTGCTGGTATGGTTGAGCCTGGTCTACACTATAAAGTTCTGCCAGCGCAGCTATATCAACGAGCTGTGTGCAAAAATCACCCCTCTTGGGCAACATGGCTATTTTCCTGGAGAATCCCCCGTATAGACGGAACTAGACCAAGAGAAGGTGATTCTGTCAGCATACCGAACATCCATCTGGGGAGGTGGAGTGCTGATATTGGCAGAAAAAGACCTTCTGTTGGCGTGCACAGCATGTTCCATCGGGGCAATGCAGCGTAATGCAGACATGACCTTATTTGGCTTTGGGGGGAACATGCTATACTGGCAAAAGCCCACTAGTCTACCAGTAGAGCCACACTGGCCAAGCGCTCCTTGTGTAGAACTGACCTGGGAAAGCTATTGCCATTGTGAGGAATCAGCTACATTGAAATGATACTGGAGAAAGAGCAGGGTGAAATAACTCCTAACTATCTCCTTACAGGATGTCGAGACTCCATTTGAAGAAGCTGTTTCGGGTGAGTACTCTAGATTTACTTTATTGTCAGGCTGTTTTATATTATCTCAGTACCTCTTCGCAAGCCCGAACCCTGAGATTCAGAGTCAACTGGAGTATCCTGGACACATGTTCAAAGACTGGTGCAAAACACAAAGCAATGGGCTTCCAAGTCCCATGGGGCATGTAAGTGTCAATCCAAGTGTTCTTTGCAGTTTCAAGTCTCCCAGCATAAAAGTAGACAATTTGCTGGGTTACTGTGGGCTCTGTTCATTATAATCACTTCCCAGGTGGAGTCATACATACTGGGAGCTGTGATATACGGGGAATTCTGTCATTCTGCATCCGAGAGACTGCAGATCATAGTGTCACCATGGGCAATCCCGTACATGGCCTCATCTCTACAAGGGAGCAGATCCCAAGCTGGTGTAAATTAGTGTTGCTCTATCAAAGTAAGTGGAGACAGAACAACAGGGGTAAATCAACCATTGCTCCAGTAAAGTCAGCAGGGCCAGATCCCCTTCTGGTGTAACTTATCCGTAGCTTCATTGGAGTCAACGGGCCAGATTCCAAATGGATGTAAATCAACATTCCTGTGTTGGAGTTCATGGTCCAGGCTAAACCGAGGTCGCTCCATTGGAGGCAGGGCAGGGGTGAGCCGCGTCAGTGATGCTCTGCCTGTGAGTACTGCAAGTTCCTTTTGCTTCAAGAGTCTGTTCTATTAGCCTGATACTTTTAACAGACAGAGGCCAGATTAAATGGCGGAAGCCCATTCCCTTCACGGTTAGGGTTAGCAAATCTATGAAGTGAGAGATCCCTGGCAATCCTAGTCTCTCTTTTATTCATCTGGCTTCCCATCATGTTCAGAATCTGGAGTTTCAGATGGTGGTCATAGGGCCAGCTATGATTTCTCTCGAGGCATCTAGACAGACTTATGTGCAGTGCTGGGGAGGAGCCAGTGGTCGTGGTACATGTAGGTACCAGTGACACAGGGAAGGGGAGGAGAGACGTCCTGGAGGCCAAATTTAGGCTGGTAGGAAAGAGACTGAAATCCAGGACCTCTATGGTGGCATTCTCAGAAATGCTTCCACGTGCAGGGCCAGGTAGGCAGGCAGAGCTTCAGAGTCTCAATGCGTGGATGAGATGATGGTGTAGAGAGGCAGGGTTTAGATTTATTAGGAACTGGGGAAACATTTGGGATGGGGGGAGCCTATACAGGAAGGATGGGTTCCACCTAAACCAAGGTGGATCCAGACGGCTGGCACTTAGTTTAAAAATTGCTCTGCAACCTTTCTTAATGTTAAGAGATGGGGGCGGGGGGAAAGCCGATTGCTGCAGAGGAGCACGTGGATTGGACAGAGACTTCTCTTACAGGAGGGTCTATTGATAGAGATTCTCTAGGTTTTAGTCAGGAGGAGAGGATGGAAGAGGATAAAGTAGGGGCCAGATCAGATGAGAAACAGTCACATAAAAAAGAATCTGACACATCAGAAAAGGGCAGACAAATAAACAGTGACAAGTTTTTAAAGTGCTTGTACACAAATGCTAGAAGTCTAAATAATAAGATGGGTGAACTAGAGTGCCTCGTGTTAAAGGAGGATATTTACATAATAGGCATCACGGAAAATTGGTGGAATGAGGACAATCAATGGGACACAATCATTCCGGGGTACAATATATATTGGAAGGACAGAACAGGTCATGCGGGGGCGGGGGGGGGGGGGGGGTGAAAATGTAGAATCAAATGAAGTAAAAATCTTAAATGAATCCACATGTTCCATAGAATCTCTCTGGATAGTAATTCCATGCTCTAATAAGAATATAACAGTAGGGATCTATTATCGACCACCTGACCAGGACAGCGATAGTGATGATGAAATGCTAAGGGAGATTAGAGAGGCTGCCAAAACAAAGAACTCACTAATAGTGGGGGATTTCAATTATCCCCACATTGACTGGGTCCATGTCACCTCAGGACGAAATGCAGAGACAAAATTTCTCGATACTTTAAATGACTGCTTCTTGGAGCAGTTGGTACAGGAACTCACAAGGGGAGAGGCAACTCTCGATTTAGTCCTGAGTGGGGCGCAGGATCTGGTCCAAGAGGGAACTATAACAGGACCGCTTGGAAACAGTGACCATAATCCACTAACATTTAACATTCCTGTGGTGGGAAGAACACATCAACAGCCCAACACTATGGCATTTAATTTCAGAAAAGGGAACTATTCAAAAATGAGGGGGTTAGTTAAACAGAAATTAAAAGGTAGAGTGAATAGAGTGAAATCCCTGCAAGCTGCATGGACACTTTTCAAAGACACCATAATAGAGGCCCAACTTACATGTCAATCCGAAATTAAAAAACACAGTAAAAGAACTAAAAAAGAGCCTCTGTGGCTTAACAACCATGTAGAAGAAGCAGTGAGAGATAAAAAGGCATCTTTTAAAAAGTGGAAGTCAAATCCTAGTGTGGTAAATAGAAAGGAGCATAAACTCTGCCAAATTAAGTGTAAAAATGTAATAAGAAAAGCCAAAAAGGAGTTTGAAGAACAGCTAGCCAAAAACTCAAAAGGTAAGAACAAAATGTTTTTTAAGTACATCAGAAGCAGGAAGCCTGCTAAACAACCAGTGGGACCCCTGGACGATTGAGATACAAAAGGAGCACTTAAAGACAATAAAGTCATTGCAGAGAAACTAAATGAATTCTTTGCTTTAGTCTTCACGGCTGAGGATGTTTGGAAGATTCTCAAACCTGAGCCATCTTTTGCAGGTGACAAATCTGAGAAATTGTCACAGACTGAAGTGTCACTAGAGGAGGTTTTGGAATTAATTGATAAACTTAACAGTAACAAGTCACCAGGACCAGATGGCATTCACCCAAGAGTTCTGAAAGAACTCCAATGTGAAATTGCGGAACTATTAACTAGGGTTTAGAGGAACAGCCGTGTTAGTCTGTATTCGCAAAAAAGAAAAGGAGTACTTGTGGCACCTTAGAGACTAACCAATTTATTTGAGCATGAGCTTTCGTGAGCTACAGCTCACTTCATCAGATGTTTACCGTGGAAACTGCAGCAGACTTTATATACACACAGAGAATATGAAACAATACCTCCTCCCACCCCACTGTCCTGCTGGTAATAGCTTATCTAAAGTGATCAACAGGTGGGCCATTTCCAGCACAAATCCAGGTTTTCTCACCCTCCACCCCCCACACAAATTCACTCTCCTGCTGGTGCTAGCCCATCCAAAGTGACAACTCTTTGCATAATCAAGTCGGGCTACTGCAATACTGCAATCCCCCCAAGCTGCATGGAAACTTTGTAAAGACACCATAATGCAGGCTCAACTTCAATGTATCCCCCAAATTAAAAAACATAATTAGAGAATCCTAAAAGTGCAACCATGGCGAAACAAAGTCAAAGAAGCACTGAGAGGCAAAAGGCATCCTTTAAAAAGTGGAAGTTAAATCCTACAGAGGAAAATGGAAAGGAGAATAAACTCTGGCAAGTGAAGTGTAAAAATACAATTAGGAAGGTCAAAAAAGAATTTGAAGAACAACTAACAAAAGACTCAAAAAGTAACAGCTAAATGTTTTGAAGTAGATCAGAAGCAGGAACCCTGCTAAACAACCAGTGGTGCCACTGGACGGTTGAGATGCTAAAGGAGCACTCAAGGACGATAAAGCCATTGCGAAGAAACTAAATAAATTCTTTGCGTCGGTCTTCACGGCTGAGGATGTGAGGGAGATTCCCAAACCAGAGCCATTCTTTTTAGGTGACAAATCTGAGGAACTGTCCCAGATTGAGGTATCATTAGAGGAGCTTTTGGAACAGATTGAAAAATTAAACAGTAATAAGTCACCAGGACCAGATGGCATTCACTCAAGTGTTCTCTTGGAACTCAAATATGAAATTGCAGAACTACTAATTGTGGTACGTAACCTATCATTTCAATCACCTTCTGTACCAGATGACTGGAGGATAGCTAATGTGACACCAATTTTTAAAAAAGACTCGAGAGGTGATCCCGGTAATTACAGGCTGGTAAGCCTAACTTGAGTGCCGGGCAAGCTGGTTGAAACTGTAGTAAAGAACAGAATTACCGGACACCTAGATGAACACAATTTGTTGGGGGAAGAGTCCACATGGTTTTTGTAAAGAGCAATCATGCCTTACCCATCTACTAGAATTTTTTGAGGGGGGTCAACAAGCACGTGGACAAGGGGGAATCCAGTGGATATAGTTTACTTAGATTTCCAGAAAGTCTTTGACAAGCTCCCTCATCGAAGGTTCTTAAGCAAAGTAAGCTGTCATGGGAGAAGAGGGAAGGTCCTCTCATGGATCAGCAACTGGTTAAAAGATAGGAAACAAAGGGCAGGAATAAATGGTCAATTTTCAGTCAAGAGTGGTATCCTGCAGGGATGTGGACTTGGACCAGTACTACTCACCATATTCATAAACAATCTGGAAAAAAGGGATAAACAGTGAGGTGGCAAAATTTGCAGATGATAAATATCTTGAGCAGTTTTGTAAGTCCAAAGCAGACTGCGAAGAGTTACAAAGGGATCTCACAAAAACTGGGTGACTGGGCAACAAAATGGCAGATGAACTTCATTGTTGATAAATACAAAGTAATGCACATGGGAGAACAAAATCCCAACTATAATATAAAATGATAGGATCTAAATTAGCTGTTGCCACTCAAGAAAGATTTTTTTTCCAATGAAAACTATGAAAAATAGAACTAAAAATGTTTTGAATTTTGTTGATTCCCCAGAGTCCTATTTGCAAACAGTGTTCCAATGCTATTTTTCTTGGAAATTTGCCACAAACAAACTTATAATTTTTCAAAGAGCTCCATCAAAGAAGAAAGGGGGGAAAAAATGAAAAAATGAAAACCTTTTCATTTCTGATTTTGTCAAAAAAAGAAGTGATTAATTTTCTGGTAAAAAAGTGACAATTTGCTTGCAAAAATTCATTACGAAAAATGTTGATCATCTCTAATTCTTATCTTGAGGGATCA